TTGAGGCCCAACTGGACAAGCAACCCAGCCAGCCTCAAAGCCAGACCCTGCTGCAACAGCAACCCAGCCAGCCTCAAAGCCAGCAGAAGTCTTGCAGACCGCGCTGGCCTCAAGGCCCAACTGGACAACCAACCCAGCCTCCCAACTGAATCCAGCCAGCCTCAGGCCTCGAGGCCCAACTGGGCATGCAACCCAGCCAGCCTCAAAGCCAGCAGGGTCCTACAGACCCTGCTGGCCTTGAGGCGCAACTGGACAAGCAATCTAGCCAGCCTCAAAGCCAGCAGATGTCCTGCAGACTATGCTGGCCGCAAGGCCCAGCCTGGACAAGCAACCCAGCCAGCCTCAAAGCCAGCAAGGTCTTACAGACCCCGCTCGAGGCCCAACTGGACAAGCAACCCAGCCAGCCTCAAAGCCAGCAGGGTCTTACAGACCCCGCTGGCCTCGAGGCCCAACTGGCCAAGCAACCCAGCCAGCCTCAAAGCCAGCAGGGTCTTACAGACCCTGCTGGCCACGAGGCCCAACTGGAACAGCAACCCAGCAGGCTCCAAAAAAAAAGCCGCCCCGCAGGGTCTTACAGACCCTGCTGGCCTCGAGGCCCAACTGGACAAGCAACCCAGCCAGCCTCGAAGCCAGCAGGGTCTTACCGACCCTGCTCGCCTCGAGGCCCAACTGGCCAAGCAACCCAGCCAGCCTCAAAGCCAGCAGGGTCTTGCAGACCCTGCTGGCCTCGAGGCCCAACTGGACAAGCAACCCAGCCAGCCTCAAAGCCAGCAAGGTCTTTAGACCCCGCTGGCCTCAAGGCCCAACTGGATGACAAGCAACCCAGCCAGCCTCAAAGCCAGCAGGGTCTTACAGACCCTGCTGGCCTCGAGGCCCACCTGGACAAGCAACCCAGCCAGCCTCAAAGCCAGCAGGGTCTTACAGACCCTGCTGGCCTCGAGGCCCAACTGGACAAGCAACCCAGCCAGCCTCAGAGCCAGCAGGGTCTTACAGACCCTGCTGGCCTCGAGGCCCAACTGGACAAGCAACCCAGCCAGCCTCAAAGCCAGCAAGGTGTAAGACCCTGCTGGCCTCGAGGCCCAACTGGACAAGCAACTCAGCCAGCCTCAAAGCCAGCAGGGTCTTACAGAGCCCAACTGGACAAGCAACCCGGCCAGCCTCAAAGCCAGCAGGGTCTTTAGACTGCGCTGGCCTCAAGGCCCAACTGGACAAGCAACTCAGCCAGCCTCACAGCCAGCAGGGTCTTACAGACCCTGCTGGCCTCGAGGCCCAACTGGACAAGCAACCCAGCCAGCCTCAAAGCCAGCAGGGTCTTACAGACCCTGCTGGCCTCGAGCCCAACTGGACAAGCAACCCAGCCAGCCTCGAAGCCAGCAGGGTCTTACCGACCCTGCTCGCCTCGAGGCCCAACTGGCCAAGCAACCCAGCCAGCCTCAAAGCCAGCAGGGTCTGCAAGACCCTGCTGGCCTCGAGGCCCAACTGGACAAGCAACCCAGCCAGCCTCAAAGCCAGCAAGGTCTTTAGACCCCGCTGGCCTCAAGGCCCAACTGGATGACAAGCAACCCACGCCAGCCCACAAAGCCAGCAGGGCTTACAGACCCAGCTGGCCTCGAGGCCCAACTGGACAAGCAACCCAGCCAGCCTCAAAGCCAGCAGGGTCTTGCAGACCCTGCTGGCCTCGAGGCCCAACTGGACAAGCAACCCAGCCAGCCTCAAAGCCAGCAAGGTCTTTAGACCCTGCTGGCCTCGAGGCCCAACTGGACAAGCAACCCAGCCAGCCTCAGAGCCAGCAGGGTCTTACAGACCCTGCTGGCCTCAAGGCCCAACTGGACAAGCAACCCAGCCAGCCTCAAAGCCAGCAGGGTGTAAGACCCTGCTGGCCTCAAAGCCAGCAGGGTCTTACAGACCCTGGCCTCGAGGCCCAACTGGACAAGCAACCCAGCCAGCCTCAAAGCCAGCAGGGTGTTTAGACCCCGCTGGCCTCAAGGCCCAACTGGACAAGCAACTCAGCCAGCCTCACAGCCAGCAGGATCTTACAGACCCCGCTGGCCTCGAGGCCCAACTGGACAAGCAACCCAGCCAGCCTCAAAGCCAGCAGGGTCTTACAGACCCTGCTGGCCTCGAGGCCCAACTGGACAAGCAACCCAGCCAGCCTCAAAGCCAGCAAGGTCTGTAGACCCGGCTGGCCTCAAGGCCCAACTGAGGAAGCAACCCAGCCAGCCTCAAAGCCAGCAGGGTCTTACAGACCCTGCTGGCCTCGAGGCCCAACTGGACAAGCAACCCAGCCAGCCTCAAAGCCAGCAGGGTCTTGCAGACCCTGCTGGCCTCGAGGCCCAACTGGACAAGCAACCCAGCCAGCCGCAAAGCCAGCAAGGTCTTTAGACCCGGCCGGGATCAAGGCCCAACTGCAAACCTGAGCTCATCCAAGCCGCAGGTCTTACACCCTGCTGGCCTCGGAGGCCCTCAACTGGAACAAGCAACCCAGCCAGCCTCAAAGCCAGCAGGTCCTTAAGACCTGCTGCCTCGAGGCCCAACTGGACAAGCAACCCAGCCAGCCTCAAAGCCAGCAGGGTCTTTAGACCCTGCTGGCCTCGAGGCCCAACTGGACAAGCAACCCAACCAGCCTCAAAGCCAGCAGGGTCTTACAGACCCCGCTGGCCTCGAGGCCCAACTGAAAAGCAACCCAGCCAGCCTCGAATCCAGCAGGGTCTTACAGACCCTGCTGGCCTCGAGGCCCAACTGGACAAGCAACCCAGCCAGCCTCAAAGCCAGCAGGGTCTTGCAGACCCTGCTGGCCTCGAGGCCCAGCTGGACAAGCAACCCAGCCAGCCTCAAAGCCAGCAAGGTCTGTAGACCCGGCTGGCCTCAAGGCCCAACTGAGGGACAAGCAACCCAGCCAGCCACAAAGCCAGCAGGGTCTTACAGACCCTGGCTGCCTCGAGGCCCAACTGGACAGCAACCCTGCAGCCTCAAAGCCACCAGGTCTTTCAGACCCTGCTTGGCCTCGCTGCCCCTGAGTTTTTGTGTGAATCCAGCCTCAAAGCCAGCAGGGTCTTTAGACCCCGCTGGCCACAAGGCCCAACTGGACAAGCAACCCTCAAAACCAGCAAATTCAAAAAATGGCTTGGTCAAAGTGGCACTGGTCATGTCAACGTGGCAAGCAGAGTAACATGCAGATCTTTGCAGTACATGTTCGTTCCTGGGGCAAGAAACGGTGTCTAGCATTGGCCCGGAAAATTCGTAAAAATGTGCCCCTTGAGCTTGCTATATTTGGATGTTAATTTACATCAACATGCAGATTCACAGGCACCCACAGACAGGCAACCATTCACACTACCACACACATGCGGCATTGTCAGACATTGAGTCACATGACCACGTAAACCCACACACACACACACACACCCACACATACACTGCGCGCCCACACACGCACCCACACACACACACACACACACACACACACGATCAGCCTGGTAAGGCATGACAATCATTAGTGGAGGCCGCTGAGGCTCTGGCCAAGGCCCAGGGCGGCCGCAGCAGCTTGTCTACTGCTGGGAACCGGATTCTTAACCAACCTCAATAGATTGTCACTGTATACCATATATATATATATATAATATAATATAGGTTATTATATATATTAGTATAGTATGTATATAAGCATACAATATAGTATACATGTATATTATAAATATAGGCCACTTGAGCCAAACAGCCACGAAGGGTTAGCCGAAGGGGGGGGGGGTACCACGAACCTAGGCGAACGCGAGCCGGTGATCCCGACTTAGTGGTGACCCCCGTCGTTTGGCCCTGAGACACACAGACACACAGACACACAGACACACAGACACACAGACACACAGACACACAGACAAGACACACAGACACACAGACACACAGACACACAGACACACAGACACACAGACACACAGACACACAGACACACAGACACACAGACACACAGACACACAGACACACAGACACACGACACACAGACACACAGACACACAGACACACAGACACACAGACACACAGACACACAGACACACAGACACACAGACACACAGACACACAGACACACAGACACACAGACACACAGACACACAGACCCACAGACACACAGACACACAGACCCACAGACACACAGACACACAGACACACAGACACACAGACACACAGACACACAGACACACAGACACACAGACACACTTACACACAGACACACAGACACACAGACACACAGACACACAGACACACAGACACACAGACACACAGACACACAGACACACAGACACACAGACACACAGACACACAGACACACAGACACACAGACACACAGACACCCAGACACACAGACACCCAGACACACAGACACACAGACACACAGACACACAGACACACAGACACACAGACACACAGACACACAGACTCACAGACTCACAGTCACACAGACACACAGACACACAGACACACACCCCAAAACACAAAACACAAAACACAAAACACAACAAAAAAAACACCAAAAACACACACAAAAACACACAAACAACAAAAACACACAAAAAAGCAAACAACACAAAAAACACACACAAAAACACAAAACACACAACAACACACACACACACACAAAAAACACTCAAACACAGGCACACACACACACAACAAAAACACACAAACACGCACAAACATGCGCACACTCACGCACACACAAGCACAAACACAAAACAACAACACGCGCACACACACACACACACACACACACCCACCCACACATGCACACACACCCACAAACCCACATCCACACACACCCACGTCCACACACCCACACACCCACACACGCACGGACGCAGGCACACGCATCCCTGCCCCCACATCCGTTGTAACAAAAACTACACAAAACTCTGCTTCCCTCCAATTGGTGGTTTCGATTGTGCTCCAAACCACCGATCAAGGGCAAGCTGAAAAGCAGCAACCGAAGACAACTTGAAGGCCGAGTGGCGGGCACACCCTCTTCAACCAGGTGCTTGCGGACACTTTGTGCTCGAGCCTGTGAGCATCTATCTGCAACTCGCCGGTTCGGAGCATGAACTCCTGGGACCAAGGTTGGGAGGTGCCAAAGGCTGGTTGACAAAGCATTTCCCAACCCTGCCTAGGACAAAGTGGCCCTGTCTGTTGCCCCTACCTAGTTGTAACCAGTGACCAATGAAAGATCGTTTCCAAGGGCAGTGCATATGAGGATGCAATTTAGCAGGGGCCTGAAAGGGGGTTGGTGCCGTTTGGGTTATAACCCCCTCTTGTTCGGTTGGTTTCTTGGGTTTTCTTGCACCCCTTTGGGTTACAACATCCCAACCCGCAAAACGTAAGTTCGATCCGACCGTCCTGTGTGAGCATCGATGTGCACTCGCGCGTGGGGGAAGCGCTGAGCAACGCCCGCCACGGCCCGGAGGAACGTGCGGCCCGAGGCGAGCGGCACAGTTCCGCCGCCGTAGCCTGAATCGGAGTGCATGGACTGGGTTCATCACAAAAAACACCGCCCGGATCCAGGCCATGGGTGTACTCAGCAAAGCGCAGCAGAAGCAACAGAACCGAAGTTCTTTCATCCAAGCCACAGTGAAATGCCTCACGTTGCCTGGCCAGAATGAGTCGCCATGAGTTGGCCGAACAGGGCTCATGCAATTGAACTTTGGCCGAGGATCCAAGTTGGCTTTGGTGCGTGGAGTTCATGTCCGCTGCCATGATTGCAGCTGCCAAGGCCTATACATAGCTTCCATTGCAGTTGCTGTTTGAACCTCGTTACCTAAAAAACAGACGTGCTTGCTGATGCGTGGGGGAAAGTTGGTTCTCACCCAACGCAAAAACCTCCTCTTTACCCTCTGCATGCATTTCACGAAGTGGGACCTGCAGCCTCCAAGTTTGTTTCTTGCAAGGCTCTGCCAGGGTTGTGCAAAGTTTGCTAGACAGCGGCCTCCTTCAAAGGGCAGCTAAACAAAGGATGTCTAACTTCTATTTGATTTTTGGAGCCTGGAAAACAAGAGAAAACATTTTCCAGTAGTGATAGATTCCCTTATAAAAGCAAAATGGGAAACACACACACACATATATTCATTTCAGGAAGCCAATCACTGCCGCTTTTTGTTTCACCCAGGTGTCGGCCCGCTGAACCCGCTGAACGCGGAGCCTGGCCGAGGCGCCGAAGTGGACGTGGTGGGACTCTGGGCTGCGAATGTGCTCGCTCATGGCCAAGAGAAAGGCCAGGTGTTCCTTACCAAAGAGTCAACCTTAACTAGGTGCCCCATGCAAGGTGCCCTTTTACCAACTTTTTTGGGGGAGGGTTCAGCTACTAAAAATAGACTACAAGAGGAAGGTTACCCTGATTCTAACCTCTCTACTGGAGGACCTAGTTAAGGACCCCGGCAGGGGGGGGGCCAGCAGGGTTTGAAGGTTGGGAACTCAACTCCTTGTGGCGGCGATACATTTTTGTGTGGCCTGACGACCCAACCTAGGTGGATTGCCCCCTGCAGACTAACACAAAATCCACAAAGAGTGGTCCAAAGGGAGAAGCCTCTACCAATGCTGTTTTTTGGGCTTCATGCTGATCTGCGCGGAGGTCGGGGGGGTAGTATGAATGACGACTGAACATGGACCAAGCCTAGAAACACAAAACAACAAACATGTGCAAAGGAACATGGGTGGGACTTGTATGACTAAGCACGGGCCACAACTTGAAACAAAAAAATCCACAAGTCAAAAAGCTCTGCTTTCAGCTGAGGTTCTAGTCGGCAGCACTGCTGGTTCAAGCTCCACTCCTAGCCCGAGTCTGGCTTTGGCAGGGGTGCAGAGAGTCTGGGACCCGAGATCCCAAGTTGCGACCCAGGCTGAAACGATTTCAGCCTATTTGGCGAATCTCTCGTGCCACAGCTTCGAGTTTCGAAATTCGAGCGGAAAAGCCATGAGTCACTGATACGTGTCCTGGGTTTGCTGGGCATTTCTCAAAGGGCATCCCCTATCTCGTCGTTATTCAGACCCAAATCCACAGCTATCTCAGCTTCTGCCCCGCACAGCAATCACATTAGATTGTGGCACGTTCGAACCTCATGTACCACTCACTTGAGTGGATTGGCCCCAAAAGGGCCCAAACAAAGTAAGTCCAGGGACTCAGGGAGTGAGACCAGTTGACAAAACATGACCTCGTTCAAGAGGTCCTAGTCAAGAGTACGTGTCCTGATTTGAGGCTGCTTCATGTCGACCTGGAGAAATCTAACCAGATTAATTTAATTTGGGTTCCCCCCAAAGTGAAAGTTCCCCTCTAGGCCCCAATCCAAATCAAGCTTGGATCTATTCATCAATTGGGTTCCCAGTCGTTCTTCAGTTTGCCGGGGAAGCCACCACAGAAAGAAGATATAGAGGGTGGGCCTCCCTGAATAGCTGGGCCTAGGCGGCCTGTTGGCAACATTCGCAAGCCAAAACTCTCCAGAACTTGCTGGCGCTCAGCAGGCAATGAGGAAATGACCCTCATAAACCATCCCTTGTGGTTTCCCTTAAGGGTACCCCTGGGTTCGTTCCCACACGCCCTACCTATCGCACCAGCACTTAGTTGACGTTGGAAGGGGAGCAAACATTCAATTTTTAGCAGTTAAGTGGGGGTTTCCCACTACACCACTAAACCACAAGAAGTAAAAATGCAAAATGTTTCCCAACAACAACCATGAGCGTGGAAGCCTCGCGCACCGAGGCGCCGTGGCGCGGCGCCGGACCCACTCGCAGCCGAGGGCCGGCCGCAAAGCGGAGGAGGCGCAAAGGAGGCGCGCCAGGCAGCGGGGGCTGCAGAAGCAGAGGATGGCGTCACCCTCCGGGCTGGCCAGCGCCTGTGTCACCATACTGTGGACGAAATCCAATTCGCACAAATAAAAGACTGGAATGGTCTGATTCCCCGGAAAATACGAAACAATGGTGGCCCATGGTTTCACCGTGGTGCAAGATTTCGTCCATCCACAGTAGTGACAGTCAAAAGGGACCCCAAGATGGATTTCTTCTGTTTGCATGTTTGCCCCCTGGAACAACTATGTATATATATATATAACATGCAAATGGATCATTTGGGGTTCCGGAAATGAAAGGTCTCCCTTTAAAGCAAGGTCAAACGGGGGCAGCCTCAAAGAACACACGCACACCATATGTCGGGCCCCTCTATTTTGACACGTGCCAATTTGGTGAAGCCGAGTCCAGAGCAGCCCGAAGCAGCTCGATTTGTCACCGCATGACTCCCTGGGAGGAAATCATCTGGATTTGTCCCAACCCCAGAAAGGATCAGGGAGCTCCAACCCGCAACGTGACCACCTGCGACTTCTCGCAGGAAACCGCCCAACCCTCCGAGGTTCACGGCCAATACACCAATAATTCTATCACATCAAGCGAAACCCGCACATAGATGTTACCTGGGTTTGTCTCAAGCGGAACCCCAAGCATGGGCCTCCCTTTAGGTCCAACAAATCCACGGGGTTCTTTCCGCATGCGCCAACACCAGGTCAATGAGTTCGAGCCCTGGGCCTTAGGCCCACATCTCACACGGGGATCCCCAAAAAACCTTCAGGCGAGGTGCTCCAAAAAAAATCCCAGAGCTATTTCCTGAGTCTTCCCCCCAGCGCCTGCCATGCCTGCGCGCCCAGATGGGTCACCTGAAGGCTGGACCCTCTTGATTCCCCACCCGACCACACACACACACACGAGCGCGCGCGCGCACTTGAGTATCACAGAAATGAGGCAGAGCCATCCTTCTGCGACACCAGCAGTGTGCGGAAACCCTCTTACTCTCCCAAACTAACAATAAGACCCTTTTGTTCCAAGGACAACACGTGCAAAAAAACATCTTAGCCTCTCAAACTCAGGCGGGGGCCCGCTTCAACCCAAAGGCAAAATGTGCGGGCCTGTGTCTCTCGAACAAATGAGGTATAACCCCTCTTCGTCGCAGAGCGATGTGTGGTGACCCTGTTCATTTCTCAGAAGCATGAGGTAGAACCCCTCATCCCGCAACACATGTGTGAAACCCTGCTTCATCTCTCAGGCAAATTCGGCAATGACTTTCTTTCTCCCACCACAAGTGCGAAAGTCCTCTCAATCACGAAATCCCATCAAATGACCCATAGGACGAAGTACGACAACCGCTTTATTCTCTTGAATTACCAGTGCAGCTTTGGATTGAGCCCCCTTGAGCTTCCCCAAAGACCTGGCACGCTTGGCCCATGGTGTAAATGAACGACTCGGAGCAACCCCGGTAAAGCTGCAAGTGTGATTCCCCGGGGCATGGAACCCAAAAAAAACGATCATTCACAGGGAGATTCCCCAAAAATGATGTCCCCTCCACGATTAGGGCAGTTCCTTCTAGCCTGTGGATTCCACGTTACCCTCCCACCAATTAACATGGAACATGACGTTCGGGAAATGGTCCCAAAAACAAAGGAAAATGGTCCAAGGCAGGACCCGAACGTTAGGTTCCGCATAGGTGTCCTTTTAGAGGAAATAGATGGCCCTGGTAGATGATGAAACCACCAGGTAAACCAGGGCCATCTATTTTTCTACCAAAACAACCCAAAAAAGGACACCTATGTTGGTGGGAATGTAACCTGCAGCTGAGCACTGGCCCTCCATCCTCTTCCCAGCCCGCGGGACTCGCCCGCTTCACCGCTCAACCGACTTCTCCGCCGGCCTGCGACGCCTTGATGCGAGGCGGAACCGCCTGAAGGGGCCGCAAACTCACCTCTTGTCTGCGGAACATAAGGGGCCCGTCAACATGAGGCAGCTCACAATCTGACCACATGTCTAGAAGCCCTCCCGAAATTCGGTGGAGATGCCCTCAACCTGGTCCAAATGTTCAAACAATGACAACGTTCTCAATTCAATATGCTACGAGTAACCAAGCTATGCGGACACCATCTCAATCTTTCCACCGTAATCTGAATCTCTCGGACAATTGTGCACCCTTCTTCGTCTTTCCGGGTTGGTCCGGCTCGCTGTGATCCAACCTTTTGAGAGTTGGGCAGGTTCATATGGGTCCTTATTGGCAGTCACTCATATGTTTATATATACACATATACAAATATACACATACATTTACACAAACAAATGAATGACACAACACAAAAGTAGGTCTATCAATTTCGATACATGTATAACTGCATGTACGAATGTGAGGCTTGACTCCTGGAGACAATGATCTGCGTGCGTCCCTTTTGGGCGCAACATCATTCGAGGGCCCGTGCTGCCGTGTTTGGCACAAGCTCACAGCAAATTTGCATCAAAGGCCGCAGGAGCCTCGGCAGGGAACCAGCTCTCGCATGGTGAAGGCCCCTGGTTTCACTTACAGAATCATTTCTGGTACAGCAAATGGCCTCACTCTCTGAGGACAACAGCTTATTGCGCATGAAGCCAATGTTTCTTTTAACGCAATGCTTGATTGACGGCGATGGGAAGATCATATCGTGTACGTAGGCAGGAGATCCTTATATCATATAGCATAACTCGTTTAAGGTTGGGGGCTTATGAATACAGACTGACATATATATATATAGAGAGAGAGATACATATGAATGCCTGTATGCGTATATAAATAGGTGTATATATATATATATATATATGCATGTGTGTATACCCAAAGGAATACATACATATATTCGTATGTACATGTGCGCGTTGAAAACACCAGAATGGAACTTCAACGACTGCGCCGGCGCCCGCGACGCCCCCCCCCCCCCGGCCTGGGATTTGCGGAGCCACTGCCAGCAACCGCAGTCCATGGGCTTGGGTTTTGTGCGCCAATTTTTTGGGGCGGGAGGCCACTGACGCGAGTCAGTACGTTCTTCATTCAAATCGATTTGCTCAAAAAAAGACACCTTCTCCACGTCGAGCTTTCTTAAGAGAGGGGTGAGGGCTGATCCGAATATGCTTGGAACTTCCAGTGAAAACGGACGATCCTTGGACGTCTGCTGGACGGATCTCTTCTATCCGGATGGACTTTTCGGCCGAAATTCAAAAGATCAGCACCAAACAATGGTCTTCTTTTTCAAAGCCCCAAGCGTCATTCCTCGGATAGATGGTCTGTCCTTGAAGCTAGCTTTTCATGGGTTGCACCCCCCCTTCCCAAGGCATCCCCTGATTTGAAGCCTTGCGCTGCCATTTCAGCAATAGGCCGGAGTTATCTTGTTCTGTTAAGAAGGGGAAATGAAATAACACGCAGCAAGGCAAACGATGCAACAGGGTAAGTAGGTCGGAGTCGGAGCCAAAATGATGGGTACCCGGTCTGGTGAGCTTGGAATGTCACTGCTGCAAAGACGCCAGAGAAGCTCCGAACTTTGGGCTGGCCGCCAAAGACGTTGTTTCCGAATCAGTCAGCCTCAAAAGACGATCAGCAAATGTACCAAGCACCACATGCCAAACCTAACACCCCTGAAGAATGGTACTCCCACACAGCACATCCAGAAATTCCGGGAGTGAGACTGAGCATCGGCTCTTGCCCTTCTTCAATTCACTGTTGTTTTCCTTCCGCTGATCGGCTTTCCCAGCCGACTCTCCCATAGCCAAGGTCACAAGATGCGACGACCTAAAGGACATGGTCAGGTTTTGTTGGGGTCTCCTGGCTTTTGTGGTAGAAATTCAAGCTCGCCCCACAATGTCCCGAAGTTGGCTATGACTATACACCACTGGATGCTTGGAACAAGTATGAGGCCTGAGTTTCAAGTCCCCCGTATTCACAAGCCTTGTGCATGCCATTCCCCAGACTCCTGGCATGACAAGCTTAGGCAGCAGGGCATGTGCCTGTTTGGAGGATACCTGAAGATTCCTTACATGTCCAACCTCAAAACCTCACCCAACTCGTGATGGTTTAATTATTTACCTTTACCGCCCTACTTCCAAATCCCACAGAAAGGCACCCAAATAAAAAAGCTGAGTTCCCGCTTTTCGCTTTTCCAACGCGACTCGCGTGGCTTGCCAAAGATTGGCAACGGCTATTATTCACAGAGGCCCATGGAAAACTGGGCTTTGCTCTTGGTCAAACGGCTTGCTGCTTGGCCACATGGCCCTGCAAAAGCGATTATGTTTGTTTAATATATATATATATATAATGTTTAATGGTTTGCCGCTTGTGAGGGAACATAAAGTCCAAAAGGGCAAATAACTTGAGTCAAATCTGGCAATCGGCTGAGGCGCTGAGAGCTACGACGGGCGGGGATGTGGCGCCAATGGGTCTCCAAGTGGCCCGCTTAAGTTTGCCCAACACAGTGTACTGACCTTACTTTCTACAATCACGGCTAACTATATAAGCTTACATTGGCCTTCCCACAACCCCTATGTTGCGGGCGCTACTCATATTTGCGCCATATTCAGGTTTGCTGTGTGGGTCATTGTCATGGCAAACTCTTATTTGATGGGCAGTTCAAACATGTCAAATGCCACCAAACCACCGTTCCGGGATACCTGCTAGGCACGTGCAGGGAACCTATCCGTACTGTGGAGTCCTTGGACCCAACTCTCTCCACATTTGTTGAGCCCGGGACAGAGTTATGTTTTGGCGCTTTTAAATGAAGTCGCTAAAGTCAACAAGTTGTGACTCTCCCTGCAAATCAACGCATTGATGTTCAAGGGAAATAAGGAAAGTGAACCACTCAAGTCTGTGTCAAACGGTAGGAAGAAGTCAACCGTAAGACGCTCGCAGCCCAGTTCGCCCGTCCGTTCAAATTCCTGTGCACTGCCGGGCGTCTCGCCGGGAGGCATCCAAGAACAGTGTCAAAACGGGAAGGCCGCAGCGCGGCGATTGCTGGGCTATGCGATTTAGGGCTCACCACATGGGTGTGGCTCAAAATTGAACATCTGGGGTTGCTGTACGCAGGTGTTCGTCCTTGTTTCCAACCAAGGTGCCCTTTTGGGTACCTTTTTTTGAGCCACAGCCACATTTCCCAAGCCGCAGATCCACTATTGAATGAGTCACTGCAACCTTGGATACTTCAGGGCCATTGCATTTCCCAAGAAGCAGGCGCCTGTTAAGTTTGAAATGGCATACAATGATGATCCTGGGTTCTTTCTAGGAGCACCGATTCCAACTTCGGCCGGAGGAGGTACCAAAACGATGGAGTGGCAAGGGTTGCATGGGACACTCAAAATCAGAGCAGCATCGAATG